AATTAACTTATAAAATAGTGTAGAATAAAATGATATATGCCAAGTTTGCAGATTCCAGTATATGCTTGGCTAAATCCAGAGTAAGCGTTTTAAATACACCCTGATCATTCGTTGATTATGAACATTTAAATACTTAATAATTCTCAATTTGATGTCATTATTAGTATATTTTAGTTTCACTTTTATATAAAACGTTATAATATAAAAGTTATATAAGAGTTATATTGATTGTCATAATTGAAATATTTTATTTGGCACACCTTAAAACAATATTAAACCACCTATATAAATAATAATAATAAATTTAATTATAATATTTAGTGTCATGATTAAAATATTTTATTTGGTACACCTTAAAACAATATTAACACACCAACATAAATAATAAATTATTATTAATAATTTTCAATTATAAAGAATAAAATTTAAAAATTTGTTGATACTAGTTTATTATGATTTTTATGTTATCCATATTAGTTATCTAACTTGAATGTACACATTTAATTGTTCATAAATACTTGATATGAGTGCACGAAATTTAAAATAAATATGAAGAAATGTTGTCGGAAAGTTAAAATGGATTCATTATGAGTATTGATAACAGCTATATATGCTACATAAGTACAATTTTATAATAATTATTTCAATAATAATAATAATTAAATATATAATTAGCTCTCTCTCTCTCTCTCTCTCTCTCTCTCTCTCTTTGCGGAGCGCGAAAAACATCGGGCGGGTCGGGGCGAAGAAGTCAATCCCTAATTGTAATAATAGTCACAAGTAATACAGTATTACTTTATAAACTGTGCAAGGTCTCAGTGCCGCACATTATTAGTATACTTAACCTCTGTGTACGATATGTCTGTAAAACATTTGAAACAACTTTTATATAATAAAGTGGTTTTAGTTTATATTATTCATAGACTTAAAATCAGCTATATATGCTACATAAGTACAGTTTTATAAACATGTTAGAGTTAATAAAAGGATCAAAAAATAAATATTTATATCAAATGGTCTTATCAGTAGGTATTCTCACTGACCATAAAACCAGTTTGACAAGTCATTGGTATAAATATTTATTTTTTGATCCTTTTATTAACTATATCAATTCTCATAATCAAACTTCTTTCCGGCAATATTTCTTCCCATTGATGTTAAATTTCCTCCACTGGATTATACAATACATGTCTTTTGTGTGGATATTGGGGCTTAAATAGGAATAATCCTATTGTGTAGAGTTGATGGTCAGCCCCAATAACCTTAATTTCTAAAGGTATGGGCTCACGTGAAATAAATGGCATTTTGACTTATATTAAAATATAATACTATTTATTTAAATATTCAAAAACATAATTAACTTTGTTGTTTCTATAAAATGATTTTCATACTTAATTTTTTTAAACATACAAATTTCTTATTATAGAAAGTGTAATTGTTTTTATTTAATATATAATATAAGGGAATGGACATAATATTTTTCGTATTTTGTCATGTTTCAGTAAATTATTTTTAATTTATTTTCTATAACTGCTATTG